TATATATATGGCTCTTTTCGTCAATGTAGACGGTCAACTTAGCTTAAGATGGTCACAAGGTTTTCTTCAAGCAGCTTCTTTCATCACAAATCTTCCTATGTTTGATTTTGAAGCGCAGATTCTGTCTCAGTGCGTGCATGTCAGTGTCGTAGATCGAAGCTCTGTATTTCCGCTGTTTTCCTTTCGTTTGTGGCGCTTCTCAGCCTGGTTGTTTCTAAGGCTGTTCTCTAGCATTTTTTCTTTCCTTTATCATTTTCCTCCAAGTTTTCCTGTGTTCAGCTATTTCTTCCAAGATGTTAACATCTACTCCAAGCTTAGATAAGCTGTTTTTGCAGGTGTCTTTGTACATCAATTTTGGTCTTCCTCTTGGTCTCTTTCCTTGGGCAAGTTCTCCATAGAGAAGTTGCTTCGGAATCCGGTTGTCGACCATTCTCTTGACATGGTCCAGCCACCGCAATCTTTTTAAACACAGGATAGTTTTCATGCTCTGGAGGTTTGCGCGTGCCAACACTTTAACATTAATTTTGTAACCTTGTGGAGAACGTAGCAACAAAAAGTTAAAACCTATTTGATTCTCAGTCTATGTCTTGCAGCTTGTCATTTTTTGTTTCAGCACACAATAGGTCTATATTCATCCCGTATTTATATCAATTTTCGCAGGTTAGGCCTAAAATTCAACATGTTACACCCTCAGTGTAGTTTTACTGGAATTGAGTCGCTGCGAAAGTTAAAAATTCCGTTTTTTACGGAATCGCTACTCTGCTGTCAGAGTGGTCGCCCTTGGGATGTTGTTGACATTTTACAAGCTATGACACGAGAACGAGTGACAGACACTGGACTGAATACGTAACATGTTCACCGCTGCCAAAGTCCAATTGTTTGAATCATCGATCTCTCAGATTATGTTATGCTGTATCTAAGTATTTAGAATCCTGTGACAGATGTGAGTGGCAGCAAATAGGCTCAGCAACTACCTGCTTGCCTGTCCTGTGCTGTATCAACCATTGTTTCGTAGTTTCAGTGTAAGACTGTAGGCTGCACAACATCAACCAACAAGCTCAAGTTGTAGATGTAGGAGTAGGAGGAGTGCCGTATAAAAAGTAAAGTGTAGATCTAAAGCTTTCAAGTCCTCAGAAAAACGAAATTTTGAGGTTCAAAGCCTACGACCTTACAATGGCAGCTGTGTTAAAACATTGGAGGGAAGCAGCAACCCTTATACTTGTCAGCTCCTCCAAACTTTCACGAGTTGGTTTTCAGTTCGTGTCTAATTCTGAACAAGGGTCTGTAAAAGAGAAAACAGATGATCATGTCCTCAGACACATCACTGGAAACGATTTATCAAAGCTCAAACCTTTAAACAAACCTGGTTCTGAGAATTATGAACTTTTATTACTAAAACGAAGCAGCAAAAGCAAATTCATGCCCAATCTTTACGTCTTTCCTGGTGGGGTTGCAGTGGACTCAGACTTTCAGTCTACTTGGCTTGAATTGTTCAACTCTCTAGGTTCAGAAGTCCAGCGGGACATGTTTAGTAATATGTCTGCTGGATCATCTCTTGCCGCACCTATGTTTTCTCGGAGAAGAGATGAGAAATTTTCTTCAATTCCAGCAGAAGTTGCTTTTCGTATCTGTGCAATTAGAGAAACATTTGAAGAATCTGGTGTGTTACTAGCATGGCCAGCCAAGCTTGCAAAGAGTGTTGGCAGATCCCTTCTATCACCAAGTCAAGCAGGCTCCTGGGATTCTTTCTTTGATCTGCCGATTGATACTCATGATATATCTGAATGGCGGCACCGTGTGAATGCCAACCCAGATGAGTTTTTTAATATGTGTCGAGAGTTGGATCTTCTTCCAGCTATTTGGACACTGTATGAATGGTCGAACTGGCTAACTCCAACCACTGCTGAAGAAAACAGACGGAGGTTTGACACGGCTTTCTACATCTGCTGCATTGACCATAAACCTGAAGCTGCTGAGGATGAAGGAGAGACAGTCAATGCTCAGGTACACGGCTTGTTCTGAAATTCTTCAACTCTTGTCCAACTTGTCTGGCAGTAAAATTTTAAAGTTAAATTAATGAACTCTTTTGTTGCCTTTTGTAGCAGAAATGGGTATAAATAATAGGGGGGGGGAGGGGGGGTTCCGTAACGAGCGACCAGGATGAAACAGTAGAACAGAGAGTTAGGGTTTGGTAGGGGTTGGGTAAGTGAGGCATTAAGATTGTTATTTAAGAGTACGGTACTTATTCAGTCCAGTCTGGGAAGACAGCCCCGTTTATACATTGTTATCGTTCACGCGCGCGTGAGTGCGCGCGCGTGAGTGCGCGCGCGTGCATGTGTGTATGTATGTGTGCGTGAGAGAGAGAGAGAGAGAGAGACAGACAGACAGACAGACAGACAGACAGACAGACAGACAGAAGGGGGGGGGGTT